GGATTCAACACTCTCGGGTCTTCCGTTGCTGGGATTCAACACTCTCGGGGGTGCAGACGGTGCGGAGGGTGCGGGCGGTGGGGGTGGTGTGGGCGGTGTGGGCGGTGCGGACGGTGCGGGCGGTGCAGATGGTGCGGGCGGTGCGGACGGTGCGGGCGGAGCGGGCGGTGCGCAGACACCCTTCCCGTTCGCAATGAGAATGCTCAAACATTGCATCGGATCCAGTATTTGAGATTTCCACACGACGAATGATTTTATACAGTATATTCACGTTGAGAACAGAAGAATTGAAACATGAGTGGACTCCACTTCTCGAGATGAGTAGTTTTGCAAACATCGTGGGTTTGAATGAAGAGACCATCGCGATCGTCCTCGTTTCTCAAACTTTCACATGTGTGTATGTATGTGTGTATGCATGCGTGCATGCATGCATGCATGTCTGCCTATATGTGCCCATATACGTATGCATGTAAATGTCCGTACGTGTGTGTGTACATTATGTATCATGTACGTATGCAGGCACGCATGCATGTACATACTGTCATGGTCATGGGGGTCATGGCCATTACTGCACGCCCGCTGCACGCATTTCTCTATGCAATTTTAGTAGCCTAAACCCTAAACTCAATAGTAGCCTAAACCCTAAACCCCTAAGCCTAAACCTTAAACCGTAAACACAATAATAGCCTAAACACTATACTGCCCCTACAATAGCGTAGACCCTATAGTACCCCTGCGGTGGCTTAAACCCTAAACCCTAAACCCTTCAGTACCCTTATAGTAGCCTAGACCCTCAACCCTATATGGCCTTGACCCTGTAGTGCCCCTGTAGTAGCCTGAACCCTAAACAATACTACCCCTAAAGTAGCCTAAGCCTTAACCCTATAGTACCCTTATAGTAGCCTAGACCCTAAACCCTATGGTACCCTTATACTAGCCTAAACCCTAAACTATAGTACCCTTATGGTCGCCTAAACCCTAAAGCCCATAGTAGGTTTGTAAGGGGCTTTTGGGAACGCCGAAGCCTTGACCCTAGAAGCCTTGGCTTCCCTAAGCTTAGGGTTAAAGGATACTTTTTAAGTAAGTTGTGCGTTGCACCTACCACGCACACCGACAGTGCAACCCAAGACTCGACTGTTTAAGTTACTTGAGCCACTTACAATTACAGCTCACCGGAGCCTGAAGGCTCATGACCCAAGCCCAAGAAGGAGAAGGAGTGATGGTTTTGTGAAGTTGAAGGCGCAAACCCCTGACCACCAAAACGGCTGGATCTGGCCAATGGAGTTTGGGACACCAGTTCATTTTGGACACCCGATTGTCGGGAAATTTCTTGTTGCCTGCCAGTCAAATACTGCCAGGTGAGCGGGTGGGCCTGGAGCAAAAAGGCCGCAGCGGAGAGTTTGCCGGCTTGGGGTTTGAGAAATGTTACAGCTTCATGGGCGCTGCCCTTCCCCCCTTCCCCCCAATCCCTCGGACATCATGAGCATCATCGGGGACCCGCGTGTTATGGTGCTCCCTTCAAATCGAGCCCGCCAGAGCCAAAAAAGGAGGCAGGCGGCCACGCCCCAAATTGCCCTCCCTAGCATGGGGATTGGCTGCCAAAACCGGACCCAAATCCGGCCACTTCAGAGGGCCCCCCCCAACACCCGCAAGCCCCCTGAGCCATCTGGCAGAACAATTTCTGAGTATTGAAACGAAAAGCTCTCTGGGGGAGAGCTTTCGTGACATTTCATGTAGCTGCTACTTCTAACGCTGGTACCTTGAGCTCGTAAGCTCTGATGTTTGGAACCGTGGCTTGAAAGCACGAATGATGGCAATACGATGAACCCGTGCTCCAAGTCTTAAACTCCAATTCAAATTTCGCATCCTGCCTGCATCACATATCGCGAGCTTTGATGTCACTTATTAGAACTACGGACTCTTCGGACTTGCTTCCATCAGGCGAAGACTCGGGTCCTCTTCACTGCGTCTTCGGGCTCATGTTGAAACCCTGGGCTACTTCATCCTTTGGACCGTTTGAAAAGCCAGGCATGCCGCGGCTCCTGCGGTAAGGATCGGCTCTCGAAGGTCTGGGACGGGTCCCAGATCCAGGTGATCCCTCCGCTCATGCCTCAGTCCAGCTAACAGAACCTTGAGCATTGAGGTGTCCCACACAGTCCCGCACCGGCTCCAAAGTTGTCCCCAACGGAACCCAGGACAAGGACGCGTCCACCTGGCACCGACAAACGCACGACGTCTAACATCTACTCCGGGTGAAACTTGCTTCTCTTGCGTGGCATGCTGCCGCTGCCTGTCATGTACTCGCAGCAATGGTCGCCGGCACCCTCCACGACAGCCCAAACGCCGGAGTTGCGCACCTGGACATTGAAAAAAAGTCCAAAACGACATTGAAGAAGAAGTACAACACCAAAAAAACAGCGAATATTGCCCCAGCTCTGTACAGCACAAATGAAAAGACCATACTGCTGCTGAATGCATGACTCACTGCATCGTTGGAGCTGCAGTCTCGTAATGCATGCATTGCATCCCATTCTTACCAACGGTGCTGCTGCGACACTGCAAACCGCTCTGCTGCGATGCCGTTCACGAAGCAGACACCCGATGTTGCCCCATACAAGGCCTCTGCACACGCGAAATACAGGAGATCCCGCATGCTTGCACACTCGTACCAATACGAGGAGCTGTGTTGCCGATGATGATGTTCTTTGCAGCTTCGAAGCCTTGCTCTACCGCCTCAACAGCAGCACTGGTCTCGACTTTCAGACGATTTGCATCCGTGTCGCTGGACACATTACGAAGTCCGCTTGCTTCTTCAAGCGCAAATCGGGTCAAGGCCGAAAGGCAGCTTTTCCCTCGCGGACCCACTGGTTATCACATCGGGCGCCTTTTTCGGTGGGTACACGACGAGAGCACCTCCACTCAAGCCCTTGCCGAAGTAGTCCTGCAGAGTGAAACAAGCTGCCATGTCTAGGTGCGTAGTCCAACCATGCTGACAGGACGGGCCTGCCTGCGAGTCACCCTCTAACTCGAGCAGCACACCCTTGACAGAAAAGGCGCCGAATGACTGGCCCGACGTGCCAAATAGCTTCCTAAGCAGGATTCCCGTGTGCCAGTTTGCATCATATGGACGCTTATCCTCGTGCAAGCTTCATGTGGCACGTTCCAGGAGGAAGGCTGCTGCCCCACCGCTTGAAGATCCTGGCTCATGTGCTTAGCTGAAGTCGCATAATTGAGTTTCGAAGACATTTTGCTCATGCCCGGGAAGAGATGGGAAGCACTTCTAGCCGAGGCGCTCGTGGGACAACAAGGTCCCACAAGTGCGGTCCGCATTGTTCAAATGGTTGTACTGAACGTAGGACCGCTCGCCGTAGCGGAAAGTCATTTTGCAGTCCTTTTGTGCTAGTGGCATATGGTGACCAGTTAGAAAGGCTGGTGCAGAATGCTGTTCGGTCATCTCCCGTCCTCCACTAGCGTTCTGTCAATCATTCGCTGCAGAACCATGAAGTGCTCCTGCCCATAGAGCTTGCGATTCTCGATGTTGCCTCACTGGAACATGCGACTCATGCACATGCGAACCGACTGCACTACAGCCTGCCGCTGCAACGTAGGATGTTCATGTGTGTGGTGTACTGGTGCTGATCATCTGCAGCTTCACTCCAGGAAATGTGTCTCTGTTGTGTGCTATTTCGTGGCTGGGACTGACAAACTTGGGCTTGGTCTTGTGCGCGTGCTTCCCATGTTTCATTGAGGCAGGCCTCGGTCCTTTGTCCACCCGAATGTGTGTCAAACTGACGAATGTTCTGTGGTTCATTCCGGTTCTCAGCATGCTTTTCGCAGCACTTGTGTTTAGTTTGGACAGAGATGCCCATTTTGCCAGCGTCAGGGAGCTGATGCGCCGCTGCCAGGATCGGATCCAAAAGGAGTGGCCCGGTTCGGACTGCCGGATCGGTCCGCAAGACCTTGAATCGCATGCGAAAAAGACTGCCCTGTTGTCTTACAAAAAAGACCACGTGGCCTCGGCATGACCGATGAGCTCATCCATGTTTCTGAAACCCATCTTTGCCATGAGCACGCGCACCTGACATGTCTAGGAATCTACATGCTTGGTGGGTGTCTTGTAGGTAGCACTCTCTTGCTCTCTCTCTGTCTCGGGTATCGGGGACGGTCAAGTCCCCCGCACTTGAAGCCCACCCCAAAAAAATTGTATCAGCAGCCCCACCAAAGGTCGGAGAACTCCTATACATAGTTAACAATCACAAAGTTTGCAGCAACTATTACCATCTTGTGGGTGGAAGGGAAAGCAGGACCCCCTGTGGGGACACTTTGTGTGTCTCGGGTAGGCGGGGGCGCAGAGGGGACACGAAAAACGCGAAAAACGCGAAAAACGCGAAATGCACAAATAACACGCACGTAGTAGTAGAAGTAGTAACAGTAATAGCAATAGTAACTAGTAGTAGCAATAGTAATAGATATTGCTGTAACGTAATAGTAATAATGATATTAGTAATACTAATAATAATAATAACAATAATAATAATATAATAATAATAACAATAATCGTAATAATGAATACTGTAATAATAATAGTAATAATGATAGTTGTAGTAGTATCATCAGCATAATAGCAATAGTAATAGTAGTACTAGTAACAGTAATAATAATAACAACTATAGTAACAGCATAGTATCGGTAATAATGATTGTACAAGCATTGTAGTAGTATAGCAAAAATTTATAGTAATAGCAGTTAAGAGCAATAGCAATATTTATAGTAAGAATAAAATGGAAAATAATCGCTAGCAATACTAGTACTAGTACCTGTTATCGTCAAAAAAACCGCGAAAAACGCGAAAACTACAACAACAAAAAAAGGCAACACACACTAAAAAAACACGAAAAATGCGAAAACACGAAAAGCATACATGCGAAACATGCGGAACAAGCGCTAAAAATCAGTAGTAGAAGTAGTAGTAGTAGTAGTAGTAGTAGTAGTAGAAATAACGGTGATATAGTAATAGGAATTAATCATAAGAATAATAATAGTAGTAGTTAGGTAGTAGTAGTAGTAGTAGTAGTAGTAGTATTGCATTGCCGACGTCTCGCACACAATCCGGGCGTTTGACGATGGGACAGACAAAGTGTCCGGCGACTTTCAGCCGCACCATTCTCTTGATGGTTCCCTTTCCAATCTAGACTACTGGAAAACAGCTTTTAGTCCATCTCCTCCAGGTTGATAACGACTGCTTGAGAGCTACCAGTCTCCAAACTCCGTCTTCGACCAGATGCGGCAGATGTGCTTGAGGTACCTTCCACAGCTGTCTGCTGCTGCTGCTGCTGCTGTCTTCGGTCGCAGCTCTTCTTGTGCAGCTGACCCCTTGTCTCCACACATCGAGAGCAGCAGTGAACATGCGTGCCGCTCGCAACTCTCAAACACCCAGCCGTATAGCAGATAGTGTCTCCATCACGAAGTGCTGCCATAACACGATGCTCACATTTGTGACTGTGGATCCCTGTTCCACAGCCACTGCAGCATCGTCTGTGCGTGCCAGTGCACATACGATGGCACCCCGGCGTCTGACAGCGCGGCCCTATTTGAGCCCTCCAAAGCAAGTGCTCTCTACCTGCTCTGAGCGTTTAGCATGCACACTTAAAGTGCCTCGGCGCAGTCTCTCCCTTACTCGACTACAGTGGCTGGCTACTCTACTGATGGCCTCATCAATCGCCTTGTTGGGGCAATAAGCGTACTGTGGCCGATTGGCAATGAAACTACTCACTATGGGCAAGAGGCGGGCTTTAAGAGCAATGGCTAAGACCTTTGAGCACGGATCTTGCAAGCCCAACGGACGAAGGTCCTTAGGCCGTCGTGACGGCCGGCCCGGCTTGGGAAGCAGCGAGAGCAGGCAGTCAGTGGCTTCTGAAGGAAATTGAAACCCCTCATTACAGCCCTCATTGATGATCTGCTGACACCGAGTAGCAAAGCCCTCCGAGCATAACCTCCAGACATCAGCAGGGAGGCTGGTGGTCGGGACTGCTTTCCCAGGCTTGAGCTCTTTTATGGCAGACATGATCTCCGCCTCAGAAAACTCAAGTTGAAGGCCTGACGTCTGAAGAACAAAAGCATCCTCCCTGTGAAAGGCATCAGAGAAATATCTGTAGATTTCAGTAAATTCTTGTTCCACCGAGAGAATGTGCCCTTCAACAGACCTAATACGAACCTTATCACGACGTTTCCTAGGAGCAATGTGATTAATAGTGCGATACACCCCTGCTATATCTCCTTTAGCTGCCGCGGCCTCAGCCAGGGTAACCTGATGCTCCAGCCAGTTTCGGCGTCTTTGCCGACTGGCGCGCCGCAAAGCTGTGCTGGCTCTCTGAAACTCAACGAACCTTCGCCATGCTGCCATAACTGTACGTAAGGAAACAGAGCCCCTGTGGTGGCGCAAAGCACGATGTGCAGCCCACATATTCCGAACCGAAACAACAACCTGAGCCTGTCCAAAGTCAGCAAGTTGGGGCTTTCGGGTCGTAGGGTAGAACTTACGGCAGATTGGGAGAATGGCAGCGTTGAGATCCTGTACACTAGCCCGAGTCGGGAGACGGTAAAGCTCGTGACTCACATGCCGTTGAAACTCCTGCGCCACTGTGTCCTGCATTTGTATGCTGAGGCGAAGGGCTTGGAGGGAAAACCTAAGGGGCTTGTGGTGCTTAGGGGCCAGAAACCACCCAGGAACCCAAGGCAGAGTGCAAGTAAGGGGCCGGTGCTTGGGTCCGAGGCGCCATGGTACCAGATCCAGAGTGGTGGGATGAGCATTCTTGGCCTCCAGGTCGGCGTGACGACGCCGCGTGAGCACGAAGTCAATCTGGGAGGACTGTGTTCCATGCAAAAAGGTACGACTGAGTCTTGGAGCCGCCGAGGTCTTGAGCAGAACCAGCTTTTGCTCCAGCAGTAGCGCCTCTAAGTCCGGGTCGTGCGCTCTCGTCGTGGGGTGCAGTCCCCTTCCAACCAGGCCCGAGATCGGGCGCACTGTGGAATTAAAGTCAGCGCCCATGAGCAGGATATGTCGCGTTGAAACCCTGGCACAGACATCCCAGCTTCGTCCAGAAAGTCGCACGTTTGCGCGCGACCTTATCGGCATCCTTTTCCTGCCAGACCCATTGATATCCAACCACGACATCTAGAACCGCGCGGTGCCCCTGACATCTGATGTGCAAGAGGCGACCCGGGATCCAGGTGCAGTGACTGATGGCATCCTCCTGGAACTTGCTCCGTCTCAGAAATGCAGCAACGCCCGAAAATCGACTGGACGAGTCAGCCGAGGTGATGGCAATCCAGTCATCCATGAGCCATTGGTTATCGTCGCGACCGAATCCCCAATGGGTTTCCTGTAGCAGCACTATGTCGGCCTGACAGGAGCCGTGCAACCATTCCCTGAAGGTGTCGTATACCTCAGGCGTCACCCCTCCGATGTTGTAGCTGAGTACAGAGAGGCGCGGCGAGGTCTGGCTTCCAGGGGGTGGCTTTACCGTGGGTGTTGTAGAGCTGCCACCCTCCACTGTAGTAACTCCCAGCGATGAGGCACTATGCCACCTGCCACGGTACCACGTACCGCCTTGCTGCTCAGCACGTCTGTGCGCACGTCTGTACGCTCGCTTTCGACTGTTATTCCAGAGAGTCCGGATCGAAAATCCCTGTCCAGTCCTTTTCGCCTCCAAAACAGAGGCTCCCGGAGCAGCTGTGGTGCTAACTCCAACCCTCAGGTTTACCGACGCTTGCCTAGTAGCATGGTCACTTTCACTCGTCGTCGGCCAGGGGAGTTGGGACCCCTGCGGCTGGTTGTACACGTCAGAGCTCATAAGGCAGATTGTCAGTGATATCAGAAAATGAAGGAACCAGGACACAGCCATGAACCTTCGCAGCACAAAAGGACTCTACCTCAGGCTCAGTCTCCAGCCGAAACCCTTAGTAGTAGTAGTAGTAGTAGTAGTAGTAGTAAAACTATTAATAATCATAATAATAGTAGTGGTAATAATAGTAGTGAGCATCATTACTATTATTGTAATCGGGATCCGCGTTTGTCTCTTTTCTTTGCGTTGTTCGGGTTTGTTGGGCTTTCGCGTTTTTCCGTTGGCAGAAAACAGCAAAGCTATGTTGAGAGTGATTGCGGTGTCCCGGTTCGCTACTGGCGGCTCCTGCAGCAACCCTGTGAGTGCAGGACGGCTGCGAGTGCCCTGCAAACAGCAGTCGACAGCTACATCCAGGTGGCTCCATGTCGACGGAAAGTGGGACATAGTAGAACGCGAACTCCCGCAGAGATTAACACAGGCAGCACAAGCAGCTATGATCTTCCATAGTTGCATTTAAAGGGGGCTCCCCATAAGCTCCAAGTTGGAAAAAGCTACTTTTCGCACTGACGCATAGTGGCCGGAAAAGCAACCTGCATCGTTGGCAATCATGCGAAGGATCATGGCAATTAAGTGGTTGATGATAGCAATCCGGCCGCATTCAGTAGCAGTACAGCTTAAAAGCCATGGCGGCGATAACGAGGGATGGGATGAATGGTAAAACTGCGCGGAGGCCCACGTTGCCCTGTGCCAAAGCCCAAGTAGCAAGCTATTCTTACAAATGAGAGAATCAACATGTCGTAACGAAAGAAAAACGACAGGACAAGGTGAATAATTACAGAAACATTGACTCACACTCGTGGTCAGGGGTGGAGAAGCGTCCCTGCTTGCCTTATAGCAGACAAGGTGAGAGCAGTGCTGCTGACCGCCGCATCCCTGAAACAAATGAAACACAAACCTTCAAAAACAAATCTCCAGCTCGTTTTTTGGAAGCGTAGTGCATGGGTAACCAGGCTCTGTTGGTGCTTGCAACCGCTGTGGGCGCACCTCCTCGGCCACGAGCATGAGGTAGTTCACGACGTGCTCTGGCAGTCCCTCGAACTTCTTGCGCAAAACAGGGTCTTGCGTAGCAATACCAACAGGGCAAGTGTTGAGATGGCACTTTCGCATCATGATGCAACCCATCGCAATCAGGGGCGCCGTCGCAAAGCCGAAGCGCTCTGCTCCCAAGAGCGCAGCGATGACCACATCCCGGCCAGTCCGGAGCTGTCCATCCGTCTCCAGAGTGACGCGACCGCGCAGACCGTTCAGCACCAAGGTCTGGTGAGTCTCAGCTAAGCCAATCTCCCATGGAGCACCAGCGTGCTTAATGCCGGTCCACTTCGATGCCCCGGTACCGCCGTCGCAACCAGAGATCAAGATGTGGTCTGCCTCACGCATGCCATGCCTCTCCCACTCTCTCACGCATGACCACACATGAACACAGAAAATGCGCAGACTCTCAGCTGGCCTTGCACTTTGCCACTCCGGTGGCCACCACACCGACGCCAATCTCGCTGACCAGCTTCACGCTGACACCAGCATCTGGGTTGGAGTTCTTGAGATCAAAGATCAGCTGGGCAAGGTCTTCGATCGAGTAGATGTCGTGATGAGGTGGGGGAGAGATGAGGCCAACACCAGGTGTGGAGTTTCGTGTCTTGGCGATGCCTCCATGCACTTTCTTTCCTGGCAGCTCTCCTCCTTCGCCTGGTTTTGCACCTTGCGCCATTTTGATTTGTAGCTCCTGCGCGTTGGCCAGGTACTCCATTGTGACACCGAAGCGCCCTGATGCCACCTGCTTGATGGCAGATTTCAGTGAATCTCCATTGGGCAGTGGCTCGTACCTCCATCGAATCCCAGGCTGAATAAGTTGGACCCGCGATTCTCCGACCAGTCAGACCCTGTCGGACGAGCGGACCAGACACGAACGACCGAGCTCTATCTGAACGTCGGCCAAGCGGCCTAGCCGGATCTTCGCCACCCTCGCCTGTGTTTGAGAATCCACCAAGGCGATTCAATGCGATCGCGAGTGTGCTGTGGGCCTCTCAAGTGAAAGCAACTCATGAAGCCTTCTGCCACGCACTGCGAGAAAAGAATTCGAACCTCCATGGAGATTGACCCATAGGACATGGCACCTGCTTGTCTGCTCAGCTGCGGTCTCAACATGCCAAAAATCCAAGTCCGACCTGTGCGGAAGCGCTTCACGATCTCGCTGGCTGGCTCCACTGCCTCCAAAGGAAGCGGTGCTCGGCCGTACTGCCTCAGCGCTCTCAACACACCTGTCGCTATGGATTCTAGAATGTCCAACACAAGACTCAATCAATGCCTCTCCACCGCGGTTGTAGCTGCACAACTCTGCTATTGTGGGACTCTCAAGCATCATGAACATGACATACCATGACACACGGCTTCCTGTGCCAAACCCGGCCTGGGTGGCTTGAAATCCACCTGCCCACGAATCGAAGAAGCCTTGACCTGCAACCAGAGCAAAACTACGAGTAGCTTTCATGCGTCCATGCCGACAGATGCGACGAACCAAGTGGAGCGCCAGATTGTTGTGAAGAGTCGCGAAGGATGCGTAAGCCGCACGAGAATTCGTTCTGGCAGCCTGACAGCCACAACATTGTCCCCTTCGAAGGATGAATCGAAATGAGCCGCGAAATCAACAGACCACCTCCTGAAGCTTGGCGATCACCATGGGATCGTTCAAATGCTTCTCTGCATCAGCTCCTGATATATCCCGGATACACCCTGCGCAAGCCGTCATGCAAGATGTTGACTCCTTGTCGGTAGTGGTACTTGCCTTCATTCGGCAAGCTCGAGAACAAGCTCTTCACCTGTACAGGCACCATAAGCTGCAGCTCAAACCCGGAGAAGCGCGTGCGCACGCACGCACATGACACAGACATAGAAACAGATATGGACATATGTACAGATGTAGACATAGACGTAGATATATAGACATAGATGTAGATATACTGTAGATGACGTAGATATGGGTTTGATTATAGATATAGATGTTGATATAAATAGAGATCTAGATCTACATATAGATATGGACATAGATAAATAAACATGTAGATATAGATACAGATATCGACATACATACAGAGATAGGTATAGATATGGGTATAGGTATAGATATAGCTACGGAACAGGAGATTATGATAAGGATGGAGACAGAGCAAGAGATTGAGATAGAGACAAAGATGGGTATAAGTACGATATATAAACAGATATGTAAACATACATACATACATACATACATGCATACATGCATACATGCATACATGCATACATGCATACATGCATACATGCATACATGCATACCTGCATACATGCATACATGCATACATGCATAGATGCATACTTTCACTTTCACTTTCGCCGATGCAAAGTCGATACTTTGCTACGTGTAAAAGGAGGACAGGCCTATCGCCCGGCTAAGCTGTGCTATGCACATCCTCCGCCCGCCAGTGGATTGCAGAAGAATCAAGCAATGAAAGTAACGAAGAGGAAAAGAGAGAGAAGCCCCCGGTACGCATACCCAAAAGCGGGGGCAGGCCATATGAGTTCAAAGTCTGTGATAGAAAAAGCGATACCGATACACATCACGACGAAGACTTTCAACGGTCGAGTGCCGAACAGCCTTGGCCGGGCACCCGTCATCGGCAAGAAAGAAACTGTGCGATTCATCATACAGGAGTGTCTCATAATGGCCTTGATTTGGGTCGTCGCCCAAATGAACAACCACTGAATTAAGTGGGTAAGCGATGCGAGAACAGGTCATCAAAACAAGGAACATCAAGCAGCACATCCGGATCAATGCCGTACCTACGCTTGGTACATCGATGATCACCGACTTCATAATGAAACCTGCAGGCCTGGAGGATTAGCGCCCTGGGGGCGAAAACTACTGCATGGAGCTGTTCTTGCTGCTGCCACTGATCGATCAGACCTTGAACAGTGCACAACCTCCCACTATCGCTAGCGACAGGCCCAGGGGATGGCAGCAGCAGGGGTGCTGACTGTCCAGCATCCACGGTACGAGCTGCGTGGCCTAAGCGCTCCCTCGCCTGCCACACAACTTCAAGCCGGGTGTCTCGAAGGAGAGGGCTGCGGATCAAGAACTGCAGAAACTCAGCAGAGTCGCGCTGTTGATGAGGGTTGTTCCAGCCTCTCAGGAGAGCAACCCATCTAGGATCCTGCCAGAGATGTGTGACTGTAGTGCGTGAGCACCTCGTCAGCTATTTGATGAAGCTACAGAATCTGTGCTCAAACTCTTCAGTCAGGTTGCCGAGCGGGCAGGTTAAATGGATCAAGGCGCTAAGCAGAGCATTGAAGTAGCAGTGATTGCTGGCATTGCCTAGCATCATCTGCCTCACTTCGACACAGCTGCAAGACGTTTCGCCAGGGCACTGAGGTGTAGTCGTTCGTGTCTGAGGAAGCTGCCCCCCCGACATCCAGACTGCTGACTGGCTCAGTTGATGGAATAGTCGCCATGTTTCCTGAGCGGCGTCTGTCCTCATCCCGATCTCGAGGAACATGCCTAAAGTAGGCGCTGAGTAGTCCTCGCTGAGCTTCCTCATGCCGTGGAATCTGGAGATGACCAGATCGGAGGAGCTCAGGAGGAGTAGCCTGTCCAGGGCTTGCTGAACAGTCTCCGGCTCCAGAGGGTCCACCTTGGTGTCCAGCACGTGGGTCTTCTGAGTTGGGTCCCAGCGAAGGCCTGGAATCTTGTGTGGTGCCCCTGTCAGAAGGCCCATTTCCTGGGCTTTCGACCTCGCAGACGGCGTTGCCATCTTGCCGAACCGATCCTTGATCGTCTCGATGAAATGCTGGAACATTATGACACGCATTGGTGCCGTCAGTTGGGTAGGATTTTCGGCTTTGGTGCGATGCCGTGCGTCCCTATGCTGTACAGTGTGCGTGCGATGCTGTCCTGTCCGCTGGTCTGGATGAAAACCACATATGCTGTATCTTGTCTGCATATGTTCAACTGGATCTCCTGGCGGAGAACCAATGTGGTCAACATACTGACCCTCGCCTTGAGCTCTGCCAGCTGCTTGCTCAGGCTGTCGTCCTGGGTCTGATCCTTCCACTGTCGGCGTGGGTCCCACGACTTGTTGCCTTGAGGCCTGCGGTTTGCCCACTCACTGCCGATGGTGAGCTTCGGGGCCACTGTTGGTTCTTTCCCTTGCCTCGATGCTGAGCCCCTTTTGGTCCCGGCTTGGGCCACTTGGGTGGTCGGTCGTCCGGGTCCTCGTCCAGAAGGTCCCGGTCTTCGAGGTCCATCGCGAAGGTGTCCGGAATGTTCATGGACGGGAGAAGGGACTTGAGGAGGTTGAGGTCCTGTGTGGCTTCCCGAAGTTCCGCCGGCACTGGCAGCTCGCAGCGTTGCTCGAATGTCTCGAACATCAGGCGGAGAGGCCGAGGTGGTCTGTGCAGAGGAACAGCCTCCGAGATCTAGAGCCTTCCCTCGAGCGAGGCGTCGATGGAGATAGACACCATTAAAAATGCCTATGCATGAACGAAGATGAGCGTCGCGACGTTGATAACTCAGCCCGCAGAACTGACAAGGATTGCTGATGCTGATGTTGCTTTGCTTGATGTCAGCAATGCACTGTTGAATCAGGCTTGCTCTCTCCGGATATTTTTGTTGCATGTGTCGGCGAACATACTGCGGCTTCACGCTCCAATGGTTGCATTCGAGGCAATGGTGATGTTTCTTCTGAACACAATCCAGTAGAGCAAGCTCTTGCCAAGTACTATCTCTGGCTTTGTTCAGGATCTCGGGCGAATTCACGAATGCCTCGTTCAGGTGAGGCAGCAGGTGAACTTCAGGATCCTTCGCGGCATAGATGGTACGTAGAAATACGCAGCTGCGTGTGGACACGTGATAGAAAAATGCGTGCCACGTTGTGAACGAGTGTCGGCACTGTGGCATTCCTTCAAGTGAGTGCTCCATGAGCCCCTGCATGCGGGCTTGCTTGTTGTCAGCTGCGCGTGCAGCTCTCTGTTCAGAGTCGAGATGCATAGTAAATCGATGCCTCTTCAGTGATGCTGCTGTGGTGAAGCACTGGCCACAGACAGTACATTCAAAGGTTTCGTTGATGACTTTGTCGACACATACAAAGCGGGTGCTGGAATGCTGTGAAGAACCCTGCCATGCACTGCCTGTGCGTTCAAATAGTTGGCCTCTCACAACAGCCCTCCATTGCACGAGAGCTGCGTCTGGTCGGAGACCTGGGCTCAGCTGAGTGTCTTGTGATTGTCTTCTCTGAAAGGCGTCTCTGAGTCGTCCTACTGGATCTGAGAGGCGAAGTCTGGCGAGGAAGTCCACGTTGGATTCCCTGGTGAACATAGGCTAGGAGTTCGCAATCGATCGAGCTTGCCTGATGAGCTGTACTTGCAATTTGTGATGCTCAGCAGACGGCAGGCCCGTGCAGTCAAGCCCGTGTAATAGGGCTGGCCACACGTAGCCCTTCCACAACTGGAGTCTGAGTGACATAGGCACGGATCTGTTGCGAAGTATGGGCCCGAGCCTGGTGAACGAGCCCTTGGCGATCTGAAGTCGATGCCTGAAGGTTTCGGCCTCGAATCGTTTGTAGGTGATGACAGCTCCCAGGTAGACGTGCTTAGCAACTATTTTTGGATGCATAGCTCGGCCATGAATCATGATTTTCAAGTGGGGCCCCCTCCGGGAGATGCACAATGTAGCGCTCCGCCGTCTTGGAAGCATGAGGACCATGTAGTTCAAGAAGTACCACGGTTTTCGCAATGCTAACTTGAAGTCCGTGTTCTACGAGGCAGCTTATCACATGCTTGATCGCCCGATAAGCATGTTCGAGGTCTTGGCCCCGTTTGATAGTCCACGAAAAGTGGTTGTCGTCTGCGTACACCGTGGCAGCCTGACAGACGTCTCCTATCGAGGGATTCTGCATCCTCTTGAGGACCCATGCGGAAAACAATGTCCAGAGTATTGGAGCCAATCCGCAGCCGCGTCGAAGAGCAATGTGGGCCACCTGGCCTCCGTGCTGAGTGCTTATGATCGCTTGCTCATGGATTAGGAGAATCATCTTCGTCCAATCTGTCTACTGTCGTTCCCGGCCCAGATCTTAGCCTCCATACATGCATACATGCATACATGCATACATGCATACTTCTTCTTCCACCGCCGCAAGAAGAGTCCTGCGTTGCGCACGGGCAGCAAAGCCGGCGTCTCGAAGACGCATACCGCCGTATTACGGTATCCCGGGAGTGCAAAACAAAGGCTTCTTTGGTAAACCAACAACTGGAAAAACAAGTAAGGGTTTAGGCGCTCTTCAAGCCAACAAGAGTGCAGTACCGTAAAACGAAAGATCAGAGCATCTGCCCGGCGTGATCCGCCCCGTGGGGCAGATGTAGAAGCCTCGCATTAAATACCCCGAAGGGCCTCTGATGGAGGAGATGTCTGCATGTGCTGTTTGGAAAACAGGTCCTCAGAAGCAAGACTCAGAAAGTACAACATGAATGAA